GCAAAGTTGGCTGGGGAAGAACGTGGTACTTGTTAATTACAAGATCCCAGAACAGTGTCAAGTAATTCCCAGTCCCCCATACATACAACTTTTTGTGGGTTCCCCAAATGTAGATGACACGTAAGGACACATGCCATGGGAGCCTCCTGTCACCACTCTTCACGGTCGCCCACATGGCTCCCCCCACACACAGGGGACACGTTTGTTTTTGCTTTTACCCCTGTCTCTCGTCTGGCCCAAGTTCGCTCCGCAATGCCAGCTTCTCCCTCACCCCGCCACTCCGCACTTTTCAAATGGACTTCTGGCACCATTTTTGGTTTGTCTCACTCTTTGTTCAGGGCAAGAAGGACCTGGAATATGTTTAACTGCTGAGCTACTTCTGAAGGAGCTACCCGCCAGTGTCATGACCAGTGACGTGGAGCATTTTTCATCTATCTGTTGGTCACTTCTGCGTCTGCTTCTGTGAAGTGTCTGTTCACTTCACTTGCCCACTTTTTGACTGGCCCTTTAATGTACAGGGGTCTAATTTTTTGACTACTTTATATATTCTAAATATCAGTCCTCTATCTGCGCAACAGCCGGAAAAACTTTTCCCCATTCTGTTCATTGTCTTTTCCCTCCGTGGGCTGTTCCTTTGCTGTGCAGAAGCTTTTTAATCTGACATGGTCCCATTTGTTGATTCCCAGTCCTGTTTCCTGCGCAAACAGGGTTCTGTTCAGAAAGTCCTTGCCTTTGCCCATGACATCCACAGTGTCACCTCTGTTGCCTCCCTGAAGGTTAAATGTTTCTGTTCCAACATTTCGTCCTTTGATCCATTCGGATTTTAGTTCAGTACATACGAGAGATAATGGGTCTAGACTGAGTCTTCTGCATGTGAAAATCCGGTTTTCCCAAAACCATTATTAAAGAGATCGCCTTGCCTCTGGTGTACGCTGTTGGCCCCTTTGTCAAGGATCAAACAGTTGAATGCGCTTGGAGTTGTTTCGGTATCCTCCACTCTCTTCCACTCATCCATGTCTGTTTTTTGTCCCTATCATGCTGTTTTTAATCACAGTAACTTTTCTTAAACTTTTAAAATTTATTTTTATTTTAAAGAGAAATTTTAAAAAGATTCAAAACAAGAAAATAGCAGGGTAACAACGGTTAATACATTGCACATTGTTATCTTTAAATTAGTTACTCAGAGTATGAGGTAGTGGCATTTAACTGTCCAAACAATATTAGTATAAATCTTTCTGTTCAATGAACTAAGAGAGATTAGTAGTATAGCTATCGTATCTTTTATACACATGTACACATATATACCTCTATATAGAGTTTTTTTTTTTGTTTTTCCCTTCCTTCTTTTCTCATTCCCCAATTCTACCTTCTCCTTCCTTTTGAAGTTTCTTCCCATTTTACAATATCTATTGTACATTTTGGGTCTTATTTACTCTTTTAGCTTCTCACACTAGGGAGATAATACAGTGTTTACACATGTGCATCAGGTTTATTTCACTTATGAATGTGGTCTCCAGTTATATCCACTTAAAAGACCACAACTTCTTTATCCGTTCCTTGGTTGATGGGCATTTGGGTTGCTTCCAAGATCTAGCTCTTACAAATTGCATAGCTATAAACACGGGTGCACATATATCACTGTGGTAGTATTTTTAATTCTTCTAGGAAGACACCCAGGGGGAAATAGCTGAGTAGGATGGGACCTCCAATAATCACAGTAGCTCTGTAATGTAACTTTAAATCAGGATTGTGACACCTCCTGCTTCACTCTTATTCCCTGGAATTGCTTTCGCTATTTCTGGGTCTCTTCTGGTTCTACATGAATTTTAGGACTGTTCTATTTTAGTGCTGTGAGCAATACTCTTGGCATTTTGATTGGGATTGCATTAAGTCTGTATATCAGTTTTGGAAGTATGGCCATTTTGACTAAATTAGTTCTGGCTATCCAGGAACAGGGATATCTTTCCATTTATGTCCTCTTTGATATCATTTTCCAGAGTGCTATAGTTTTCTTTCCTTTCCTTTTTGTTTTTTTGCGTCAGGGTCTTGCTATGCAGTTCAGGCTGGTCTTGAGCTCACTTTGTAAGCCCAGAGTGGTCTCGAACTTGCAAAGATCCTCCTGCCTCAGCCTCCCAAGTGCTGGGATTACAGGTATGTGCCAGCACACCCGGCACTATAATTTTCATTGTAGAGGTCTTTCATTACCTCAGGTTGGTTAATTACTAAGTAGTTTTCCTCACTGTAATATGAATTTCCCCCCCTTTAATTTCTTTCTCAGTGGGTTCACTATTAATGTACAGGAAAACTATTCACTTTTTTTGTGTTGATTTTGTATCTCACTACATTATTGAATTTGATTATTAACTCTTAACAGAGTTTTCTGGAGCTAGTGAAGGAAAAGAAATTATCATGATCAGAGCAGAAATCAATACAATTGAAACCAAGAAGAACACAAAGAACTAATGAATAGAAGAGCTGGTTTCTCAAAAGAGTAAACAAAATAGATAAACACTTAGCCAATTTAACAAAAAAAAACAAAAAACAAAAAACAAAACAGGTGAGAAAAGACCTGTAGAGGACATTCTTTAGTTTATCTTTCAGTGTTTTACCGATGTGGGACTTCGGGCCTGACCAAGCCATATGATTGTTTGATTCTGGAGGAAGTCTAGCAAAAGCACTGGTGTGAAGGAAATGATAGCAGGACCCGTGTCCCTGTGGAAAGCCGCCAGACAGCACTAGATGCCTTGCTGAGATCTGCCCGAAGGAATGATAACACGATGGCTACCTAAGTCAAGTCTCATTCCTGTGATAACTAAGTTGTAGGGTCCTTGCTAAACCTGTTGATTCCTCCCAGTTGCTCTGCTGCTTCCTTTGTTCTTTCTCAATAAAAGGTTACTGAAAATGGTAACCGGGGCGACAGTCCTGGAGGCTGAAGCCCACTGACCCCGTAACTTTGCCTCTTGGTTTTCATTTCATCCGTGGGCACCTCGATCCAGGGACCTGGCACCTCAGACAGAAACAGACTATACACCAACATAAAGACCCCACACAGCACAATTAGAAATGGAACAGGTGAAATTACAACTAATCCTCACCCTAACCCTCACCCTCGCACGTTATAAAAAATAAAATCCTGTCATTCCTGTTGTCAAAACACCCAACCACTTCCTGTTTGTTTTTTTTTGTTGTTGTTTTTTGTTTTTCTCCGGTACCGGGAACCGAACTCATGACCTTGTGCTTGCCAGGCAGGCGCTTTGCCGCTGAGCTAAATCCCCAGCCCCCCACTTCCTGTTTGTTTCAGGAAAGCCAGAGGCTGAGCAATGGCTGACCAGATCCCACAAACCCAGCTGCCCCGTCCCACTTTCCAGCACTCTGCCCTTCCCTTTCTGCCGCAGTGGCGCTGGTCTCCTCGCAGTGCTGAATCTGCACTGTGTGCTTCTGCCGGATGCGTTTGGACTTTTAAGGGCCGAGAGGCTGGGCTGCGGTCTTATTTCATCTCTCCTGTGTGTTATCACTTCAGTGAGACCTTTTTTCTCCACCTTACTTAAAATTATTTTTCCTTGATTAATTTTTCTTACAGCCATTACCACCATCTGACTGGTATATACTTAATTAATGTACTACTTACTTCTTACCTCTCACCCCACTGGTGTGTATGATTCAAAAAAGCAAGGATTTTTATACTGGGTTGATTTTGTACTACCGGTGTTTACAACATGACTGGTACAAAGCAGACACTTGATAAACATTGCTTGTTTAGTGAGTAAGTAAAAGACCTACTACGGTCTGGGTCCTAATTGTGTCAAGAGGGTCCATGTGTGACAAACCTGGTCCCGGAAGATTATGGAACTATGCTACCAGAGATTATGGAACTTTGGGGGAGCCCCACAGGTAGGGTTTTAGGTTTTGGGGGCGTGCGCTCAAAAGGAACACTGCAGCCCAGTCTCTCTCCTCTTTCTTTGCTCCCTGGCCACACCGTGAGACGCTTTGCTCTGTCGAATATAACCACCTTCCCGCAGCCCCGAAAGCAACGAAGCCAAGTGATTACAAAGTGGGGCCTCCAAAACGGTGAGACAAAATAAACCTTCGTTCTTTGTAAGGTGATCATCTCAGGTATGTGTTATAGTGAGGGAAAACTAATGGGATAACTAAGTTAAGAACATTTCCTCTGAACTGTTAAATAAATGAAACATGCATTACTAATTTTAAAATGAGAAAATAAATTTTTAACAAAAATAATAGAAAGGAAACATAAACCTGAAGTTAGCATAAATGTATTGTTCATGAAAAAAATAATGCTTATTTTTTGGGGGAACTCATTTTTAAATTCAGTCAATATAAAAAATCCTATAATTTTACTACATTAAGAGAATTACTACTAACAATATTTCATTTTCTGATGTTATTAACACAAGAATTTATGAGAAAATACACATCCAAAGTCAACATAAATGCTGAAATGTCTTGAATCATATATTACAAATTCAAGATTTTAAAATATTTCAGATGTTTTAAAATTTTTTGTTTCTTAAACATTCATGCATGAAGTCAACCATTAAATCTTTCAAATTTTAACTGTATTAATGTTTAAAAGTGGGAGTGTATATAGTTCAATGGTAGAGAGCTTGCCTAGCGTTCATGAGTCTAGCACTAAAAAAGAAAAAAAATATACATACACACACATACATATGTATACTTGTACGCTATGTACACACATACATAATGTATTAATGTTTAAAGATATTAAATGGATTTAAAGACATATTTTCAGGAAATAAAGCAAAATTAAAAGTTATGCAAAGAAAAACATTCTGATAAAGAGTGAAATATATGTAGGGAAAGGGAAGCAAGAAGGAGAAAGGTTATTTAAAAGGTGTCATCTGAGGACAGTATTTCTAGTTTACCATTTCAGTACAAGGCATTCTACGCAGCACTGCTTAGGTCTGCAAGTTTGAAAGCACGTCAGGAGCGGAAAGCGTCCGTTTCGCGAAGACACTCACCTGCAGCACCACTCGATGCGGCCCTCGCCCTCGCAGGTCTTGGCCCAGTGGCTATCCGCCAGGTTCTTCATGGCGACGGCGTACTCACAGAGCGTCTCCTCGTCCTCACAGTGCTCCCTCCAGATCTTCTCGAAGTCCCCCACTAAGAGCAGAGAGAGGAGAGGGTTAAGTGAACTTGAACACGTCTGTCATTTCGGCAAAACCTGCAACAGTTCAAAAATAAAGTACGACAAATCATGAAGTAAAACAATGAAGTCTTAGAACGTGTTTTAAAAGTTCCTTTGAATAAAAGATGTAGCATTTTAACTATCACTTAATAATCAATTATGCTAGTTTTAATAGATTTGTGAAGCCGAACATCACTGATAAAATGTAGTCATACGTGTATATAAAATGAATTTAGACTCAAGAACAGTAAGTTTACGGTAAGCTCCATTTCCAATGAGTTAGAGCTGGGCGTGGCGGCGCACACCTGTAATCCCAGCACCTGAGAGGCTGAGGCAGGAGCATCACTGCGAGTTTGAGGCCAGCCTGGGCTACAAAGCGAGTACAAGGCAGCTAGGGTACACAGTGAGACCCTATCACACAAAAATCCCGAAGTAAATTACATAAATAAGAGTCTATGCACATATTATGATTGACGAAAATGCCAACAAGCAAACAAAATTTTTTGCAAATTCTCAAATAAAAGTCCTTTCATTTCAGCAAACACCCTTCAGATGTAACTGTCAGGTCTCCAAACATAACCACACAAACGGAAGTTTTAAAGCAATGTCTCGCTTAATGATACTTTCACACACCTATGAGGGTTCATAACACCACTCCTGACTTATTCACCAGATCTGACGCTAAAAGGTTCAGTACGTTACAGTACGACTCTGAAGGTTCTTTATCAATTGTTAACATATCTTCAATTTTAGAGGGTCCTTTATTTGAATTTCAGTTCCACTATCTTATATAATATGAATTTCAGTTCCACTCTCTTATATAATATTCTACTATCTAATATAATAAACATATATGCACGTGTACCCTATGTGCTGTAAATACCAGGCACTCGAAGAGAAGTTCTATGATCAAATATATTTTAGAAAAGCTGTATTTAACACAAATAAATTTCCTTTCTGTCAAAGAGTTCAAATTCTATAGAAGGTATAACTTAGAACAAAGATCTGAGTATGAGCAGTTTACTTGGAGAGCTCCCAAAGCACAAAGAGTCAGGAAATGGCTAGAAAAACAAGGAAAGAAGAACAATTAACAGTACCAGACTGCATTATGAAAGTTCTGCTGTCACAGAGAAGCACACACAATGCTTCTGAAACTGTACCTAAAGGATGGGACAGTGGAGCATTTAACAGCCCGTCCTCTATTAACTGTGGAAAGACAGCAAACCCCGCTCTAGTATGCCCTCAGACCGCGGCAGTGAGTAAGGGGGTGAGCTCACTGGCTTCCAGCAGAACCAGGGAGCGGCAGAACAGAAAGGAGAGCAGCACACATTTACACCCGAACTTTGTCAGGGCTGGTGACCGGGTCCAGGGCCCGTCCACGCCAGTTGTGGACTAGGAGGATGTTATATGGGGCACTCCTGGCACCTGTTAGCAATTCTTAGAGTCCTTACCATGTCATTTGCATACTTTGAAACTCCATCTACTCTGTAATTATCTCCTGGCTAAAAGATGTAAAGACAACTGTAAACACATATAAATCTACTGCCCTATAGCTTTTTAGACGACCTTTGTTTTTTCACACTCAACAAAACTGTGTTTGAATACTGTTCTGTGGAGTTCAAAGGGAAAAAGTGTCTGCTCCACTGATGTTTTAAGGAAGGATTCAAATCCCGTCCACAGGCTTACTCATTTAAACTTCTGCGGACAACTTCAATCTTAATGTTTCATTAACAGTGCAGTCTGCAGACTCTCAGAGTCTGCCGACACTGGGAGTGCGTATATATTTAATTGAGAACAAACAATGACATTTAAAAAATGAAACTTTATATATTTTTCATTCTATCAACAGATATGCCAAAAAAAAATACTCTGTTAAACACTACAGAGAATAAAGTTAATAAGCAGGTATAAACATCAAAAGAAGAAGAAAGTACATGTAAATATAATGTAGTAGTAATGTTATGATAAAAGAGACACAAACCCAACATGTTCCCTATGCCACATATAAAGCACCCTAAAACCAGAATCGTTAATTGGCATAAAGGGACGTATTAGCCGAATTTGAAAAGCAGGTGCTCCAAGAAACACAGTGTGGGCTCTCATAAGAAAAAAACACATTATGTTCTACAACTGGGAACACTTATGTTCCTCCTGAAGGGGTGGAAACCCATGCAATTTATGAGTTTATAGTAAGTTCCCTCTTGGGTCTTGAAACCAGCATTTCTAGTTCACGTATTTATTCAGTAATGCATCAAAACCGAAGTACTAAGTACCGTATACGCTAAATATCTAGTGGTTACAAAGCTGAACAAAAAACACAGCTGCCTTTTACTTACGAAAAATTTTCACTTTCTGGAATACCTGGAAAACTCTAGCAGACAAACATGACAAAATGGGAAAAAAAATAGTTTTTATAGCACTGAAAATAATGTACTCAACCATTAACTAGGCTGTATTCAAAATATTCTGTGATTTGGGCTGTGAAAGCCACAAACAGTTAAAGATAACAACATCCAGGATACAAACTCAAATTTCTTCTCCTGGTCTGGTCAAACTGCACACACAAAAATATGTTAAAACTTGATTTTAAGGGATATTTTGTGCAAGCAATTTGACCAAGTCAGCAGAGGAAACTTGCAAACCAGTGTCAAAATGACAATACTTCTCATTATCAAATGGTAAATCAAGAACTAGAACTCTCTGAGGCCTGCTGAAAGATGTAGTGAATATAAGGGATTGTTCAAATTCAATCAGTCCAAATTTACAACGAATTACCAATTAGCTTTATGATTTATTTTAATATCGTAGCTTTTGTGAATGACTACAACTTCTTGTGATTAATGACCCATTTTTTTAACTCACTTCATATAGGCATTCTAGAAAAAACAAATGTGTCAAAGAGAAGATATGAATATCTCAAATAAGTGTATTTACCCACCTACAGAAAATTCAAAATTACTTTTGGCAAGT